AGGTTTAATCTTTATGGGAGCAGACCACCAGGTCTTTTCTCCCATGGAGCTACTGTTAGGTTTGAACCACAGACCTTTTGATTAGCAGCCATGCACTTAATTACCAGGGCTCCTTGGGGGACACAATAGTATGAAGAAATAGGAGAGTAGAGCATGAGGCTGCAGATGTTGTCATGACCTGTGTCTGCAAGGTCGACTAACTACAAACTCTTCATTTAATAGGACAAAGACAGTCTTCCCATAGTCTCAGTCCTATGAAGCCAAGGTAAACAATTAAAAAGAAGGAGGGCGGAGGAAGGGAGAATCCTCTGGCCAAAATACTTGACAAAGTTTAGTACTTTGATTTGAAGGGAAGGGTTTTAGACATTCTTTCAGTGCCTAGTAAGTCTTACTTTTCTTTATATATTAGTCTACAGCTGATTGTTCCTACAGCATCTTAGTAAGTGAAAGAGTATGGGTGAGAAAGAAATGGTTAGCAGTGCTAATCATCCTTCAGGCCAGATAAAAGTTTGAAGATGCAACCTCTGGTGCTTCCCCATACCTCGAGGTACTTTCTTTAGAAAAGGAATACTTATGGCCCAGAGGTAAAAAATATTTTAAAATTAAAAATAATTTTTTTTTAAATAAAGACAGAACAGAAAGAAAACTATTAAAACTAAAACTTGAGAACTTTTAAGGGCCAAAAAAAAATAAAAGTTGCTGTAAAGTACATTAAATAAATGAAGTTTGTAATAATGGAATAAAAGGAAAGAACAATATATCAGTACTAAAACAAACTAATAAGAGGACTTAGATCATGAACCCTGAGATCTGAGTTAATGTTGGTCTTGGTAGTACTCAGTAAATATTAATACATAAACATTAAAAAAAAATTCAACTGTCAAAAACTATGTTTTTGAAAGGAGAAAAAAGTAAGAACTTAAGCTAAGGATATAAATAAAGAAAACCAAAGTAAAGGCAAGAGTTTGAAAAAAGAGAGTGGAAAGAGAGGGAGAAGAGGAGAGGGGAAAGAGGAAGAAGCAATGAGAAGCAAAGATGGATCTGCCACAGGAGGAGGAGGAAAAATAAAGATAAGCATCATACTTCACGACAATGACAAACTCTAAAACAAACCTAAGGTGCTGATTAGCATGGCAGAATATACTCATAATGA